GTCAGTTTAGGTAGGTTGTGAATTTCTTAGTATTTGTCCATTTCCTCTAGGTTTGCATATTTGTTTGAGTATAGTTTTTCATAATATTCCATTGTTAGCCTTCTATTTTACTTGGTTCTGTTGTAATGTTGTCCATTTCATCTTTTATTTGGATTATTTGAGTCTTTTCTTTTGTTAGTTTTATTAGTGGTTTGTGGATTTTATTGACCTTTTCAAAAAACCAACTCCTAGTTTTGTTGATAATTTCCATTGTTTTTCTGTTTTCTATTTCATTTATTTCTGCCTGAATTTTTATAATTTCAGTTTTTTTAAAGTGTGTCAGGTTTTCTTGCTGTTCTTTTTTAATTTGTTGGAGATGTTGGGTTAGAGAGTCAATGGTCATTTTTTCCCTTGCCTTTTTATGTGTTAGCTTATTGCTATAAATTCACTTCTGATTACTGGTTTGGCTGTTTCTCTGAGATTTTGGTAAGCTGTGTTTTCATTGTCTTTTTTTTTTTTTTTTGTGGACTTAAGCCACAGGCCTTTAATAATCTTCACTGGCAGAGTCCAAGTGAAAATTATTTGGCAGAATCCCCAAATCAGTAAATGAGAAATTCGGATGTAAATGATCAAAAAGGAGATTGCTACCTATTCCAAGGTCACAAAAAGTTAAGTTGTTTGTCACAGAGTGAATCTTGGAGGTGGAACTCTGTGAAAGACAGCTGTGACAGGAGGTTTCTGTCCAACACCAGTCTCTAGGCTAACCCTGCTCCCTTTTAAGGCTCACAATATGAAAGAATGGCAGGGAGTTGGCTCAGCAGAACTCTAAAGGAACCTGAGTGAGGGCTAGGATGTGCAGAGCGGATAACGTCATTTAAGCGTTTTTGGAGGAAAATTTGTGGTGGCCTCGGCCACCAAAGTCCATACCCAATGGATGATCTGTAGCTGCTTCTCAATGGTGGCTGTAATGTTCACAGCATCAGGGATGTGGACATAGCGAACATTACAGCCTGTCACAAAGAGGTCAAACAACTCAACCCGATGTCCCCAACATTCTATGTAGGTGACACTGGCCAGGTGGATATTCATGAATGCATCAACGTTGTCTATGCGTCCAAGGGAAGTGCTCTCATCCTGAAGGTCCACGGTGGTTATCTGACCCTGGAGGGCCTGCAGCAGGAGATCAGGCTGCTGTCTGAGACAGTTCATTCCTTCACAGAGTGGCTGAATGCCATTCTTTTGCACTGGTCTGTTGTTTGCACGCCAGGATCCTTCCGCTTCCCTTGCTCAGGTCACTGCCCCATTGCCATTTGTTTTAAGAAACTTTTTAATTTCACATTTTATTTCTTCTAGTACCCACTCATGTTCAAGCAAGGTGCTGTTCAACTTCCAAATGTATGGCTTTTTTCTCCTTTATTCTTTCATTATTAATTTCTATTTTTGTAGCATTGTGGTCTGAGAAGATGCTCTGTATTATTTCTCTGTTTTTAAATTTATTGATTTTTGCCTTGTGGCCGAAGATGTGATCTATTCTCAAGAACGTTCCATGCACATTGGAGAAGAAGGTATAATGTGCTTTTTTGGGGTGCTTCAGCCTATAAATATCTATGAGATCAAGTTTGTTTATTGTGTAGTTTAATTCTTTAGCATTTTGGTTGAGTTTCTTTCTGGTAGTTCTATCTTTTCTTCGGAGTTGTGTATTGAAGTCTCCAACTACTATAGTAGTGCTGTTTCCTTTTTTAGTTTTGTTAATGTTTGTTTTATATATTTTGCAGATTTATCTTTTCGTGCATAGATATTTATTATTGTTATGTCCTCAGGTTCTATTGACTCTTTAAGCATTATTTAGTGACCTTCTTTGTTCTTTGTGATGGTTTTTGCATTGAAATTTATTTTATCAGAGATTAATATCACAACTCCTGCTTTTTTTTCTGGTTGCCATTTGCTTGGTGTTTTTTTCTTCCCCACCCTTTTATTTTTTGGTCTGTCTTTATTGTCGCTTTTCAGGTGTGCCTCTTGTAGACAGCATATTGATGGATTTTGGGTTTTTTTAATCCATTTGCTACTCTTCTTCTCTTCAGTGGTGCATTTAAACCATTCACATTCAGTGTGATTATTGGGAGGCATGGTTTTATTGCTGCCAATGTGTTGAGATCTTTTTTGGTGTTGTTGCTAATTGCTTTGGTCCATGCTGCTTTCTGTGGCACCTCTGTATGAAGGTCATCTCTCAGTGTTTCCTGCAAGGCTGATCTTGTTTTTACAAATTCCCTTAGGTTCTGTTTTTCTGAGAATATCTTGATCTCTCCTTCATATTTGATGGACAATTTCACTGGGTGCAATATTCTTCGTTGACAGTGGTGTTGAGTGTTCAGTATATGTCATTCCACTCTCTTCTTACCTGCATGGTTTCCCCTGAGAAATTGGCACTTAATCTTATCTGCTCTCCCTTATAGGTTACTCTTTGTTTCTCCCT